AAAATCATTAATGTTTACTTAGCCTCTGAAGCTAAACAATTTGTGAAGATATAACATAAATTACTAGTGCAATATGTGTTATATTATGGTATATTATCATTACCCTTTAAGATCTAGACTATGTAAATATTGACTAGTTTTTAATCCCTCTTTTATATATAAATTAGATTCTACAGTGTAATAGTAATGGTCTTGTCTCTCTTCCAGTGGAGAACTTGCTCAGTCAGATTGCCGCCCCTGCTGAAGCTAGTGGGATAGTTGTTGCTGAAGCTAGTGGGGTAGCTGTTGGTGTTTTGAAAGGAAAGTAGCAACTGTACCAATGATCTTTACAAACTTGAGACAGAGATTCCCATCATCACTCCGTCAGAAAGATGTTCATAAAACTCGTTCTTATAAAGCTGTTGATGGTGTAGGGAGCGAGGTAGGAGGGTGGATCAGCCTCCTACCATACAGACAGAGTATCGGCCGCCTTTCTCTTACCAGGTGAAGCAGAGAGACCAGGTGACTCCAAGACGATAATGAGTCATGGAATGTTATTTATATTAAGTGTGATTTGCTTATATGTCACCTCATTTACCAGAGCTAATTAATCCTTAAAACACAATTGTCGATTTTGCCTTACGGGGATAACTTTGTTGTTATTTATTGTTGAAAGTTGATGGACAGTAGTTCATATTTATTCCATTTTATTCAAGATTCTTTAATGATAATCTAACCTATGTATAACTAAGTTGGGTTAAGTTAGGTTAGGTTAAGTGAAGTTGGGTTGTTAGATTAGGTTAGGCTAAGTGTTCATAGTTTGTTTGGTGTTTATTTACATGTGGAGATCAGTAAGAGTGTTTGGAAAAGGGGAAGTCATTCTTATTTAGCCCTGTGTGTGTGTGTGTGTGTATGTGTGTGTGTGTGTGTGTGTGTGTGTGTGTGTGTGTGTGTGTGTGTGTGTGTGTGTGTGTGTGTGTGTGTGTGTGTGTGTGTGTGTGTGTGTGTGTGTGTGTGTGTGTGTGTGTGTGTGCTGTCTTTTAATGTATTATATTTGTATTATTATGTTACTTTAATATGTATTAGTTTTTAATTATTTTTTATTGTACTAAAATCGTCTTCATGAACCAAGGCAACAACTGGCCGGAGCGTCGGGCGTTGGTTTGTGTGGAGGCTTTGTAATCCGGTAACACTGTGTAGCCTTCGTGAAAGTTTTGTGGCTTGGTAACATTGTTTCTAGGTCTTTTTTTTTTCTCTGCCATTTAATTTGTGGGGGTGGGAGCGATTTTTTATTTAGGTATTAAAATATTTTGGAATTTTTACTTCAGTATTATAATATTTTGATTTTTTTTTATCATTAATGTAAATATATTTTGAATTATCTTTATTTACACTATTTTGTTTTCACTCTTTTGTTTTACGTATGATTCGTGTTGAATTAGTTTGTGATTGGCGTGGTTTTCTTTTAACATATTGTCTTAATGTCTAAATAGTTCTGTAAGTTAAGACATAACTTTGAAATAAAAGTTTGGATACAGAAGTTACTTTCTTCGCCACTAATAATTATATAAGTCTAGAGTTACGGCTCCTTGATTTTCACTCAATACGTGTCTAGCTTTAAGAGGCATAATGTAAATAACAGCTGGTACATTAACAACAGCGACTCAGCTAGAGAATATGGAATATTTTCTCAACTGTAATAATATAAAAAACGGTGGCTAATTTACAATCTATTTCAGGGCCGATAAAAAAATGTTGAATTCCTATTTAGCATTATTCGTGAAGGTCGTCGTTCTAGGAGCCCAATAAAACTATTATCTCTCACCGATAACGAAAAGTGAGCGATTATTTCCCAAGGAGTGAGCAGGCGGGCATGCCGCGTGACCCAGGCTGGCGGCAGAGAACCTCAGCTGATGGTCACACGCGCCACAGACTTACACCGAGAAGGGAAAACGTATCTATTGGTAAAGCGGCATTTGTATTGGCGTTTCTTGAGATTATTCCATAGTTTAGTAGGGTGTTCATTCTTCTGGAAATACCATACGAAACAAACACACACACACACACACACACACACACACACACACACACACACACACACATCTGTATGTTCACTGTATGTTCCTTTACCTTTCTCTAATGAAGGCTTTTGTTAAACCACCAATGTATGTAATAAGTCATTTATGTCCAATGTATATTTTCAGCCTTCGGGCTGCAGAACTTTTTCAATAAACCGTTAATTATTATTATTATTATTATTATTATTATTATTACACACACACACACACACACACACACACACACACACTGTATATTATAATAAAAAATATTCAGTAAAGTTTGTCAATCAATTTATCTTTAAAAGCAAGATAGGTAATTAAATCCCAATATAATTTTAATAGATAAATATACGTACTTTATAATTTAAGTAATAAAAGTCATTCGACCCCTCCCTCCTCCTCTTTAAAATGATGAGACATCGTAGAGGAATTACTACAACCAATCCTAGATAGTTCCAATAACGCGGAAATATTTATGTCGGTAAAAATAAGTTCTATCCCAAGGTCCCCAACTGATATGAAATAATTTTTCTAGTGTATTTTGGTGCCTAATCAAACCTAACCTATCTTAACCTAACCTAAAAATAATCCGAGCGATAATGGTAGAAAATAAAAAAAAATACCTATTTGGATAAAAATAAACATTAAACTACAAATATTTATAATTAATATATAAAGTTGTCGCCTTTTTAAAAATAGTTACTATAATGATAAGAACATCTGTGGAAAAAAATGAACGAAATGTAACAACTCTTTCTGGTGGTAGAGCTTTTCCCAGACATTAACCAGCTTTATTATAAGATAGTTCAGTGGTAACGAGCGTAAGTCTCACGTCGTGGCTGGGGGGAAGGATGTGTAGTGTGTGGCAGTGTTACTTGAGTTATCCCTAAACATTTTCTCTGATAAAAATATAAAAGAAAATGTATTATTTTGGGTAACTCGTCTATTATAGCTGTTAACTAAAACAAAGAATTTAAAGATTACCTGAAAAGGCTAACCTAACCTATCGTTATATTTTATTCAAAGGAGTATCATCAGTACGTCTTAAGATTTCAATGATTTTTTTTCCATCTGCGCATGTCCAGAGCATTTTCAGCCCGGTACAATCTGAGAGCACCTGAGCACGTCACTCCCAATTGGTCGGACAGTCAGTCATTAGGACTCTGTTAAACACTGTTGGCAAGTATTTTCATGTACGCGTATGTCTCACCAGTTTTTTAAGGGCTCGAGGTTCGGCCAGGACACACGTGAGAAGGGTGTTATCCAGTGTGACTCTCACTACCAAACATCACAGGTTGCCCAGTCTTCGGTTTCCTCCTGTACCACCACTGGATAGACCAACCACCCGAACGGCTAGTAATGATAAAAAAAAGGTCTTGGTCTATAAGATGTCACATTTAAGGGATTATTTTAGTCGTCATGTGTCGTACTTTCTTAGAGCTGTGATGTCCATTTGCAGGTATAGTTTACGTGTTTGTATTAACTGGTCCATTTGAAGAAGTGAACAAGATTTAAGAACCGAGTGGTCATCATCTTTATCTTATATACAAATGTAATGAATGCTTTTGGCACCATTGTGAAGGATACCATTGGCACCATTTTGAAGGATACCATTGGCACCATTTTGAAGGATACCTTTGGCACCATTGTGAAGATTTAGTGAGAGTTATAGTAGGAGGGATTGCAAAGTGAGGAAAGTTGGTAGCGTAACCCAATAGTTATCAAGTATTAATATGATTTTAGGAGGAATCTTCTAAACAACAATTATAAGTACAGCTATTTATTAGTTAACTGAATGAACCGGAACACATATACAAATTACTTATATTGTCGTTACCAGACAATAACACCGAGACATAAACCTGACAGGGATACACTTCCCACCACAGTAACTCATCCTATGGTTCGCTCTGACAGTGACTCACGTGTAACCTGTGGGAGGCTCAGCAGCTGGAGACTCTGACTGCCGGGCCTGGTACTGCTTGGGAGTGTGGTCCTCCTCCCAACCCGGGACTCAGATCTACGTGTGACTCCATCTATGACTGGATTCTGTCTCTCTTGTTAATGAGCTGTTGGTTCCTTTTATTCGGGTTTTTTAGGTCAGCGTACTTTCACAAATCTATCTTATCTACGTTAGTTTATGGTGGTGTGTTCCAGGCGCGACCTCTACCTACTGCTGGCCAGAGGTCCGTGTATTGGATTTATAGGGTCATGGAGCGTGTTCTCTCATCAATACGAAGGCAGGAACTCCTTTGCCCCATCGTGTCCAATATTGGGTCAGATCTTTATCTCGTCAACTTAGGTAGGGTGTACACCTGCTCCACTAGTTACTGCTACATGTGTTTTTGTTCTTCTGGATTAGACAGCTTTGGTCTGATAGACAATCATTATAAAAAAGGTAACATAAATTATTCCTGAACTCTGGTTTACAGCTGAGGATTCCCTTTAATTACACTGCTTCCAGACATTGTTAAGTTGTGGAAAATCCAAAATATTTTGATATCTAAATAAAAAAATCCCCCAAAAAGTAAATGGCAGAGAAAAAAAGACCTAGAAACAATGTTACCAAGCTACAAAACTATCACGAAGGCTACACAGTGTTACCAGACTACAAAGCTTCCACACAAACCAACGCCCGACGCTCCGGCCAGTTGTTGCCTTGGTTCATGAAGACGATTTTTGGACAATAAACTTTAGTACAGGTTAATGTAAAGCCTGGCGAGATAATTTATGCTAATTCAGGTTTATGTAATTTAAAGAGAGCGACGAGGTCCAACGGTAGCCTTGTACACTGTGTATTATAATGTACAGTCACCCAAACAAGTCCTGTCGCGAACCATGAACCCCGAGATTCAGACTCGTGAACCCGAAGCATTAGACACTGATACATTATTCTGTCCATAAATGCTTCGGATTCAAGAGTCTGAATCTCGGGGTTCATGGTTCGCGACAGGACTTGTTTGGGTGACTGTACATTATAATACACAGTGTACAAGGCTACAATATAATATAATGATGTCCTTGGTAGTGGATATATTTACCTAAATTGAAGGACAGGACGAGAGATAAGGTGTATCATCACATCTTGGCTGAGATTAACAACAGATACAACAGAAGAAAAAAATTGAAGAAATGAAAAATTATTTACAAACTAATACATAATAAAGTAACATTATTATACAAATATAATACATGATAAGACAGCACACACACACACACACAAACACACACACACACACACACACACACACACACACACACAGGGCTAAATAAGAATGACTTCCCCTTTTCCAAACACTCATATTGATCTCCACATGTAAATAAACACCAAACAAACTATGAACACTTAGCCTAACCTAATCTAACAACCCAACTTCACTTAACCTAACCTAACTTAACCCAATTTAGTTATACATAGGTTAGATTATCTTTAAAGAATCTTGAATAAAATGGAATAAATATGAATGACTGTCCATCAACTTTCAACAATAAATAACAACAAAGTTATCCCCGTAAGGCAAAATCGACAATTGTGTTTTAAGGATTAATTAGCTCTGGTAAATGAGGTGACATATAAGCAAATCACACTTAATATAAAAAATATTCCATGACTCATTATCGTCTTGGAGTCACCTGGTCTCTCTGCTTCACCTGGTAAGAGAAAGGCGGCCGACACTCTGTCTGTATGGTAGGAGGCTGATCCACCCTCCTACCTCGCTCCCTACACCATCAACAGCTTTATAAGAACGAGTTTTATGAACAACTTTCTGGCGGAGTGATGACGGGAATCTCTGTCTCAAGTTTGTAAAGATCATTGGTACAGTTGCTACTTTCCTCTCTTACCACCAACAGCTACCCCACTAGCTTCAGCAACAACTTTCCCAATAGCTTTAGCAGGGACGGCAATCTGACTGAGCAAGTTCTCAACTGGAAGAGAGACAAGACCATTACTATTACACTGTAGATTCTAATTTATATGTAAAAGAGGAATTAAAAACTAGTCAATATTTACATAGTCTAGATCTTAAAGGGTAATGATAATATACCATAATATAACACATATTGCACTAGTAATTTATGTTTTATCTTCACAAATTGTTTAGCTTCAGAGGCTAAGTAAACATTAATGATTTTTACGATATATTATGAGAATATTTCAAACAAAGTGGAGCAATGGCTCTCTCTCTCTCTCTCTCTCTCTCTCTCTCTCTCTCTCTCTCTCTCTCCTATACATATATAAAAAACAGAATTAATATATTCAACTGCAAACCTGAACATTCAACTTTATTATGAACAGTTGAGCATCACATTAACAAGTATATCTAAAGTTTGTTTCAAGTCAACTGGAACAATGTAATACCATCTTACCATTGTTTTCATTGGTGTAAATTTCATACTCGTAGTCCAGTGCTACAGTGACCACGCTGGCTATGTTAATGTAGGTGATGCATTCTCTCCCCGCGTCTGTGGTGCGGAGCGAGAAGGCTTCACACAAGGTCTTACAGCAGTCTATTCCACACAGGCCGTCACTAATTACCTTGAGAACCGATACAACGATTTTGTCATATTTCTTTTGATCACAGCTAGCAACTTTTTCTTATACTTTCAATATTGCTAGTATAAATTGGTTATACTTTGAATACTGCTAGCAAAATTGTTTCATAATTTGGTTGCAATTGATTAACTTGCCAGACTAATATAACAACATTCCTAACCATCAGTACTTACGAATGAGGTACGAATGACTGTTCCTGTGGTCATAATCTTTGGCACTCTGACGTAGATCTTTCCAGTGGCAGTAAGTCCTTGTGAAGTTACCAGACCATCATGTGACAACACTGCCGTCATGAACACCCACCACACTGTTGTCACCCACCACATTGTTGTCACCCACCGTACCTGTTGCATAAAATAAGATTATGGTCTACCACAACTACCAGTACCACCATCACCACCACTACTGCCATCATCACTACCATCATCACCACCAATATGACCATCATCACCACCACTACTGCCATCATCACTACCATCATCACCACCAATATGACCATCATCACCACCACTACTGCCATCATCACTACCATCATCACCACCAATATGACCATCATCACCATCACCACCAATATGACCATCATCACCACCACTACTAAGAAAAGAATTAGAAAAAGGAAGAACAAATTTTAACAGCTGTAAAACAACAAACATCACTGAAAGAGTTACAGTATTCAATAAATTACTCTCAATATGAACTAATAAGCCAAGACACATAGCCCTGATGTGTCTATATGTGTCAGCTAGATGAACAGTACATATAAAAACAACACATAGGAGACACATATACAACGATATAGGAGTGTCTTGTGGCATTATAACAGCGGATCAATTATTTTGTTTTTTTTGTAAGTCAAGGATCACTTAAGGTGTACAAGAGGCCGAATTTATTAAGTTTTTCTGATGTGGTGAGTCAGTGAGTGAGTCAGTGAGTGAGTGAGTCAGTCAGTCAGTGTATATTGTAGCTGTTGGTTGACGGAGTAATGTTTCGGTCCTGTTTGGTGCGTGATCAACCAAAATATCCTTCCAGCGATAATGGTTAGCTACATTGGTTGTGGTTGTGGTGGTAGTAATGGTGGTGGTTGCAGTGGTTATGATAGTGGCGGTGGTAGTGGTTGTGGCAGATGTAATAGTAGTGGAGGTTGTGGTGGTGGTTGTGTGGTTGTCGGTCTGGTGGTAGTATGGTTGTATTGTGGTAATGGTAGTAGTAATTGTGGTAATTGTAATAGTAATTGTGGTAATGGTGGTAGTAATTGTGGTAATGGTAGTAGTAATTGTGGTAATTGTAGTAGTAGTTGTGGTAATGGTAGTAGTAGTTGTGGTAATGGTAGTAGTAGTTGTGGTAATGGTAGTAGTAATTGTGGTAATGGAAGTAGTAATTGTGGTAATGGAAGTAGTAATTGTGGTAATGGTGGTAGTAATTGTGGTAATGGTGGTAGTAGTTGTGGTAATGGTAGAGGTAGTGGTAGTTGTTGCATTTTTAACATTTAAGAGTACAGTTGTATTATATTATTTTTCCTTCATATTTCGTCCTAACAAACTATAAAGAAAAACAATATTGACCAGTTAAAAATATACCTAATTCAGGTACCGTATCAGAGGTAGTGTCCAGGGAATATTGCCTGGAAGTGTACACGAGTCATAAGTTCTTCAGTAATCACTATGAACTGTTTTTTTTCCTCACTGCTTGCCAAGACTGTATGGATCATTGAGTTACAACAGCCACTCACAGTAACTCATGCTAACTCTGAGAGGTTTAAGTGTACTGTAGTAACCTGTCCTTAACTGTTAACTGTAAGCTACTTTAGAAACTTATGTTCATTAACTGTTAAATGTAGGTTACTGTTAATAATTTATGCCCTTATAGACGAATGTTAAGAAGCCAAAACGTTTAGAGAAATACTGGAAATATACAGACGAAGAAAGATGATATACTTTAGTCATATAAATAGGGATTAGAGAATAATAACATATATTAATGGACAAAGTTGAGGGTAGGAGGGCCAGGGGATGGTAGAGACTGGGTCCTCAGAGAGATACAAAGCCTTGGAGGATTGGTAAAAACAGCCTTAGAACTTTTAGAGTGGAGGACTGTGGTCGCCAACCCTCAGATATGATGACGGTACCGTGATTGATTGATAATATTCTAATTTTAGATTACCTGAATATTTTCCCCAAAGCTTATTTCACCCGATGAGGTCCCCAGCATATTTTCCCCTGTCGAATAGCCCCCAGCTTGTGTCCCCTGTCGATTAGCCCCAAGCTTATTTCACCTGGCGAGAAGTCCCTCTAACATATTTCACTTCATGAATAACCAATCTAGCTTATTTTACATGATTAACCTTAACTTATTTCACCTGATTAGACCTTCCACCTTATTTCACCTCATGATTAAACACCCTAACGCTACCTGGGGAGGGGGTAGACTAGGTTGGGTTGTAATAGGTAAGGCTAGTGTAGCGTTGAGGTAAAATAAGCTGGTATGCCTAATGTTGGTAATCCCTAAAAATTTAATCACGGTGTTCAATATTTAGACAAATTTTGATTGCTAATGTTAATCACATCTACTCACACTAAACATCAAATGGTAAACACAAACACTGCTTAGCAAGGGTTGGACAGATAGCTAAGATATGACTTTCAGAAGCACAAACATTTACAAGAAATTAGGTTCAGTTCTGTCCGTAAAAATTCTGAAATGAAAATTGGTCTCGAAAACCATATTTGACAAGTTAGTTTTAAATTGATTCTACTATACAGACAAAGGTGAAATTACTTCTTGACTAACACACTGACACATGCATATTACAATACTCTCTCTGTGTCTAGGATGATAAGGGGGGTTTGAATAGGAACACTTTATGGCGTTAGTCAATAATATATGTACGGTTATAAATGTAAAATAAAGCATTGAAATAACTTGCCTTCATCATGTATGTGTGTGTTGTGGGTCGTCCCTCGTCAACTGTACCTCTCAGCAAGAACTTTACCTCTACTGTGTGTGTGTGTGTGTGAGGTAGAGGCCAGACACACACCACCAGTCCAGTCCAGCTTACCACTAAACACCTCCGCTAACTCACTCCCAGCTGAGCAAGTTGACGCGCACTGTGAGACTTGCCTTTACTGATTGGTTCAGTGCTTGAAGACGGTGACCAATTACCAGGCAAAGAATCACAAGTAGTCGTTGTTGATTGGTTGAATGTTTGAAGACGGTGACCAATTACCATGCACTGAATATCAACTTCAGATAAATATATGTTGGCACAGTTGAGTGAGTGGCCTTAGCACGAACAGTTGCTCTACATGAATACATTTATATGCACTCAATGATAAACCCACAGACATTCGAACAAAAAGGGCAACTGGGGAGGAGGAGGGGGGTGAGGGGGAGGAACAGGGTGAGAGAGAAGGAAATGGGTTTAAAGGAAAGGGTGAGAAGAAAGGAGAAATGGAGAGGATGAAGTTAAGGAAGGTCACTCATCCCCCTCCCCCTCCTCCTCCTCCCTCTTCCCCCCCTCTTCCTCCTCCCACTTCCCCCCTCTTCCTCCTCCCTCTTTCCTCTCTTTCTCCTCCCCCTCCCTCCTCCCTCTCTTCCCTCCTCCTTCCTCTTCCTCCTCCTTCCTCTTCCCCTCCTCCTTCCTCTTCCCCTCCTCCTCCTTTCCTCCTTCCTCTTCCCCTCCTCCTCCCCCTCCTCCTACCTCTTCCTCCTCCTTCCTCTTCCCCCTCCTCCTTCCTCTTTCCTCCTCCTCCTTCCTCCTCCTTCCTCCTCCCCTCCTCCTCCCCTTCCCCTTCTCTTCCACCTCTATATCAGCCCCAATATATCTTTCTTGATCCAAATTTTACGTAAACTAATAAAAATTCACCCAAACTAACCAAACCTCACTACACTAACCAAAGTTCACCCAAACTAACCAAACCTCACTACACTAACCAAAGTTCGCCCAAACTAACCCAAATACAAGAAAGTTGTTTAAATAGTTTCTAACATTGTCTTCTAAGGTAAAACTAAATTAACGAAAGAGATTAAAAACCTTAATAAACGTATCTCATTGACTACCTATGTGTTTACGTATCAACAAACACAAACAACTGACTATCGCTTGACATAAATTCTGTTATTGTTTTTTTTTTGTTTGATCTTATAAACTGAAAGAGACAGATAGTTTCGAGACAACGACAGAGACAGTTATAGACAGCTTAAAGACAGGCATAGTAATATAGACAGACAGAACAGTGATTTGAGAAATACTGTACCCATTGAGACAGATAAGCTGGAGACATACACAGACAGACATACAAACACATTTAGAAAGATCAGTAGAGAAATATACAGACATGTTTAACATGAGAGAGAGAGAGAGAGAGAGAGAGAGAGAGAGAGAGAGTAAATCATCTTAGACTAGAATGAAGCATCACAGGCCAAACCAACACGACTATTATGGTTCAACCTTGCTTGCTCCAGAACTACGGTGCTTCAAATCTATATAAAGTGACTTATATTGGTGACTTTACACTTATGAATATTTAACTTTACACTTAAATATTGTCAGTTGTATTGTAGATTTTAAAACACGTGATCGCCTGCAAGGAAGATTTACCCTTGTAATTTATAATCCAGTATTGGGTTTTCTTAGGCAATTATCTGTCCAAGCGCTACAGTAGCCTACTTCACCCGGTACAATATGATACAGTGCGTGTTAGTCAAAATGTAAATACATTATTAAATAGCAACAAATGTTTCCGTTCTACACCCATGCTTATTTTTATTATTATTGTTGTTATTGTAGTTAGTGTATTGTTGTTGTTGTTATTGTATTATTGCTTTTGTTATTGTTGTTATTATTACTGTTGTTATTACTGTTGTTGTTGTTGTTATTTTTATTGTTGTTATTTTTATTGTTATTATATTTGTTGTTAATGTTGTTGTTGTTTTGTATCTCTCTACGGACCCAATATTTTATTTTATTCACCCATCCCAGTCTCTACCTTCCCTCTGACACTCCTACCATCAGATCTGTCTATCAATATTTCTGTTTTTATCCCACCATCACTAAATTATATAACCAAAGTATCTCTTTTTTTTTTTTCCTTTTCTGTACATTTCAAATATTTCTCTTGAAGTTTCTGCGAATCTTAATACTTCTTCATTTGTTTTCCTTTCATTGTAGCTTATTCTTAACATTCGCCTATAACACCAGATTTCACAGCCTTCCAACCTGTTTCTGGTGTCTGCTGAAAGTGTCCACGCTTCTGACCCGTACATCAGTCTTGGCCATATATAACCTTTCAGCAGCCTTTTTGTCAATTTGAAGTTATTGTCCCTTTTTATTGGGTCTTTTAGTTTATTAAATGCTGTTTTTTGCTTGCCCTATTCTTGTTTTGATTTCTTCAGTACATCTGCCAATTTTGAAGCAATCATTACTTTAGTATATACAGCATTAATTCTTAAGCCATATTTTTCACCTTTTTCCACTAATCTGTTAACAAGTTTTTGTAATGCCTCTTCACTATCTGGGGTAAGAGCAGTATCATCTGCATAAAGCATATTTGATATTACTTTACCATTAACTGTTAGTCCGTCATTATCACCTATAACTTCACTCATTAAGAGCTCTGAATATATATTATACAAAGTTGAAGATAGAACACAGCCTTGTATTATTCCCCGTCTAACTGTGAACAAATTATTTAGTTCATTATTTACTGTTGCCAGTAAAAAAAATCTAATATCTCCTTCAGTAATGCTCATTTCTTTCCAAAATCTCTTTAGATTTATTGTGCTTTACCTTATCAAAAGCCAAAGTATATCTCTCTTCTTGGTACTTTGTGCAGGAACCTTTAGACTGGCAACGTTTTACAATGTTTAGAATTTTTGTACGTTTCTATAACATCTTTTGAAATTATCTGTAGTTTATGAATGGCGTGGTTATGTTTTAACATATTATCTTAATGTCTTAAGTAGCTCTGTAAGCTAAGACATAACTTAAGAATAATAGTTTGGCTACAGTGGTCACTTTCTTCACCAATAATAATTATTTATGTCTAACGTTACGGCTCTTTGAACTTAGCACAATATGAGTCTAACTTTCAGAGGCTTACTGTAAATAACAGCTGGAACATTAACAACAGCGACTCAGCGAGAGAATATTGAATATTTTCGATAAAGTGTGTGGGAGGAGAGATGGCGGCCCACACATACACACACACACACACACACACACACACACACACACACACACACACACCTGGTGCTTTCAAAGACAAGTAGATATTCGATCTAAAATCAATCAGACTGGCTGTTTTATAAGCACTAGATAGTTCAGTGGTAACGAGGGTAAATCTCACATCGTGGCTAGAGGGAAGGGTGTAAAGTGTGTGGCAATGTTACTTGAGTTATACCTAAACATTCTCTGTGATAAAGTTATGAAAGAAAATGAGTTTTATTTGGGTGACTCATTTATTATAGCTGTTAAATAAATCAAAGTACTTAAGAATCACTTGAGGAATCTCCACCCTAACATATTTCACCTAAATATTAACCACCCTAATGCCCACTTAACTTAACCAAACCTCATCCCACCTAAATAGTTCAAGTTACTGTTCTTGTTTCCACCGATACAACAGAACAGATAGATGATTCCACAGGTCAACTATGAACGAAAACTTAAACGAGATTTAAGAACCGAATAATCATACAAAAGGTTGTACTCTGGAGTTATTGTGGTCGACATGAGAAGCCTTGAATCGTTCACTTGAGATAGACAGATATTCAGTAAAATGGTCAAGCGTGTCCCTATTGAATCGATCATGTACAGTATAGAGTCGGTGCAGGTATACGGTGAACATAGCCACTATCAAAACATGCTTATTTCCAGTAAAATCCTTTGAATTATTTGTTCAGTTTGTGCAAATCATTCTACATGGACGTAATTCTTGACTTGTTAGTTTTTCGTGGGTCTATGTATCGCCCTTGACCTCGATGTACTGTACGTGACCTTGATGTACCGTCCGTGGCCTTGATATATACCGTACGTGGCCTTGATGTACTGTACGTGACTCAAGAAGCTTTCATTACTCTCACTGACTCTCAATAGTTCTGTAGTGAAAATGCTCCGTCAGTGTCAGTTTATATGTCTGCTATTTATTTATTTTTTTAGATTTCTTGTTATTGATGAGTTCTCCAAACCCACACAATGACTCTAATTGAAACAAGCTTTTAATGGTTTTCTTTTGGCAGTCCTTAATCATATTAACTTTCTGTTTACCAGTGTTTATATAACTGTTTATGTACATTATTTAACCCGATGATTAAACACCTTAACACTATTTGAGAGGTTAGGTTAGGGAGTGTTAGGTTATGTTAGGTGTGTGTGTGTGTGTGCGTTCAAACCAACACTCGTACTTCTCAATATTTGATCATCTGTTTCCAATGGCCATGAGAGAAACACATCAACAAATATATTAAAACGAAAAGTCTAACTAATAAAGAAGCGATGGATGGCGTTTGAAAATAGCATTGATGTGAGACGAGGCTAACAAGTGATGGATGTAGTCCAGGCAGAGAGAGAGAGAGAGAGAGAGGGGTGGGGTGAGGTGCAGATCATCCACCACCACTCTCCCGCAAGTCGATAAACGCGTTATGGGTAAAAGTGAGTGTCGGGGTAATTCCATTTGCAGTAATGGGAAATATGAAAGATTTATCGACACATAACTTACTAATCCGAACCCCTGAATGTATTAACTAAAATGTTGTTTTTGATGTACGTGTGGCAGTTTTGATGAGCGATTTACATGCTATTTCACACAGCTTGCTGGCGTCATTACTCGTTCGTACTCGTTTGCTGTAACCACACTAAGAGCTGTCATTACACAACGAGTAATGATTCACCCTTAAAATTCTGACTAATTCTGACTACTGTAACTATTATCAATCCTGAGTTATGTTAGTCATATACAGGAAGCACTGACCGCTTTACTAGAGTTACCCCTTAAGACAAGACTACTGAGCCATCATAGAAAATTGTGTGAGTAGTTTTAATAAGATAGTTAACATAGTATACGTAGGAGCTTA